GTTAATTTGCTGGTTAATTACCTATTTACCTGATAACACCGTATAATATATTATAGTTAATGTTTAATATAATAAGTCCATCATGTTTTTTAGATGGGAGTTCCTTAATGGTTGTTCAAACCCACCAGCAACCTTTGAACAAGTTGTTTGTCCTCAAGAAATTGTGGATATATCCGGCTGTAAAATGGACCCTGTTTGGAATTCGTAGAAATAAACACTTTAAATGACAAAGTTGTGTGCCATATGTATTGTATAAATTGATTTTTTTATATTTATGTTTTAATATATTTTTATATAAGGAATTATTAAATTTGAGACTTTTTATTATTTCTATTTTGTCCTAATAACTCGCATATTTTTAGGTTCGCATCACTGATTCAATCCTATTTAAGAATTCTGATTCGATTCTTTTCATTGCAATTTGAATACAGAATTATGGAATTTTGAGTAGAATTAACTAAAAATATCTACATGATCTTTGTCTGGCAAGAGGTGTTGCATTTAAAAAAAATCGAGATATAGCATTTTAAATATTCCGATTTTCGTGACGCCATAAAAATACCCTGTATAGGACAATGTAAATTTTCTTTCGATAATTTATTCTGTTGTTTTTATGTTTAGAAAAATATAGCTAAGTATTTATAAAGTTATACCTATTCACTCCAGTTTTTAACCACTTTTCGTATATAGTGTTTTTAACCAAAGTTTTAGTAAATAAGAAACAAAATGGCAACACCGCATAGTGCTTTAAATAAAAATAGTGTACTATATGCACAATTTTATGCTGAATCCAATTATCTACAGAAAAATGGGCGTTGCAATTAAAAAAAAATAAAATTTTATCATAACTTTTTTGTGACACCCTGTATACAATAAAATATTTTTAGTATATGCCCATCTATAAACGATGCAACATCTGTATAGAACTTTTTTTCATATCTTCGACAACAACGACGATATTGGAGTTCCACGCACTAACGGGCCACCCTGTTATCAGCTTTTTATTTTAACTTTATAATGTTAATATAATTAGGAATTAAGATATCATTAACTTATAATAATATATTAAAATTTTTACCAACAATCTTTACTTAATCTTAATCTTTTTTTTTTACTAAGTCTTCTTTTGCATATACAGGTTGGTCCGAACTGTATTCCGGAAACTTCGGCAGCACATTCTTCACATAAAAATAAGTAAAAAAGTTCGTATAAATATATGTCCTAAAATGCTTAGTTTCAGAGATACAGGGTAAAGTAAAGTAAAGTTTCATTTTTATTTTGATTTTTTCTAAATAATTTCTGAAGTAACGTCAATATTTGGATGAAAATTGGTGTGTGGATGTTTCTTGACATGAGAAATTTGATTTTGATGTCAATATCACTCCTACCAGTAGAGGGTGCCACCTACATGTGTGTTACCTGTTTTGAAGCGTAATAACTTTTTGTCCGTACCTGTATAAAACTACCTAGTGAAAAAATATACATTTCCAACACTTTTTACGTAAAAAATATCTCTTTGTAAAAATCGCTACGAGCAACCGTTCTTAAGATATTTAGAATCAAAATAGTCAATACATGTCATTATTGACGAAAAGTAAACACGTTGAGTTAGATAATATAGTTATTTCACTGAAATAATAAATTTGGGAAATTTTTATTTTTTTAAATTAATCATAAATTTTTCTGCAAAAAATGATGATAAAATAGTTTCTGTTGAACTTTTGACACAAAAACATTTCAAATTTATTATTTCAGTCTAATAATTATTTAGTCAACATGTTTAATTTATGTCAATGATGACAGGTATTGATAATTTTAATTCCAAATATCTCGAAAACCATTACTCGTAGCGATTTTTACCAAGAGCACTTTTTCACGTAATAAACGTCGTAAATGTATATTTTTTTACTCAGTAGTTTTATACAGGTACGTACAAAAAGTTATTACTCTTCAAACCAGTTAAAAAATATGTAGGTGGCGCCCTCTACTAGTAAGAGTCATATTGACATCAAATTCATATTTCTCATGTCAAAAAACACCAAGACACCAATTTTCATCAAATATTAATGTTACTTCAGAAATTATTTGGAAAAAATCGAAATAAAAATGAAAGTTCTACACCCTGTATCTCCGAAACTAAGCATTTTAGGACATACATTTATACGAACTTTTTAACTTATTTTTATCTTCAGAATATGCTGGCGAAGTTTCCGGAATACAATTCGGACCACCCTGTATATTATTATGTTTATAACCTTTCTTCCTTTGAATTAGGGTTGCCACCTTTTTGCATAGTAAAAAAATACATTGGACTATGGAAAAGGACGACTGGGGCGGGGGGGTGGGGGGGTTAGCTTGTTGATTGGGAACCGCTGATTATAAATCGCGACTTTAAAATTTTGAAAAGCTCTTTTTAAGATCAAAATGGTTAGAAATAAAGCCAAAACCTGTTAATATTCGGTGTCTAAACATTCATTTCAGATTAAACGGCGAGTTCTAAATAATGTTGCCGATTCTAAACAGTACTATACTGTTTTATTAAGATTAAAAATGATACTTTTTGTGGCGAGGCTGTACGTTTGACATTACAGGCGAAGCACAAAGAGTAATTTTTACCCGAATAGAACATGCTATTTTTTCAAACGTTAAAAAACATTTTTTAAATAATTACCAACTTTACAAATAATATAAAAACATTTAAAAGTAATACATTTATTTATGTTTTATAACATGTCTAATTAAATTTGGATGAAGGGAATATTGCTGGTTGCTGTAGATAATTTTTTCAGAGAAAATACGTAAATAAAAAGGACTTTTTAGGTCAAAAAAAGTCAAAAGGACAATTTGTTCCAAAAATGACTGTCCTTTCCAAAAAAGGACAGGCGTGCAGCAGTCTCTTAGACGGATACTGCTCCCAGGGTCTGGGTGTTCGGGTTGAGGAAGAGAAGACGAATCGTGTGCACAAGTGGTCGATTTATTAATATTTAACTTACGTTATTATCAGTGTATTTCTTATTTGAAAATAAGAAATTTACTCTTAGTCTATTTTTAGTACTTTCTAATATAATTTGAAAATCTTCAGAGAACATCATACTTTTTAATTTTCGCATAAGTGTCTAAACATCATTTTTTGAATACAGGGTCCGTCAGTACCTAGTGCGTCAGTCATCTGTATCTCCTAGAATAAAAACTTTGGCATTTTGTTTAAGTGCAAACCTATAAAGTATGTACTGGGATGTATCTTAGAAAAATATTTTAACTGCTATAGGGTGGCTCAATGGGTGTGAGTGGATCAGGATGATTTTTTTTTAATGAAACACCCTGTACATATATGCATTTTTGGCTTCCTTTCAGACAGTGGCGAATACAGAGGGGAGACCATGAGCCCCCCCCCCTTTTTTTATTTTCAAGATCGGATATTTTAATATGTTTACATAAGAAAAATTCGATAAGGTTGTTTTTCTATTCAAAAAATTGTAACAATCCATCCATTTACTTTTAGAGCATAGCAATTTTCAGCAATCGTGTAATTTTTTTATTGATAAAGATTTTCACATACTGTCTACAAAGAAAATACAGCAGGAATATTAACAAAGTTCTTGAAAAAAAACTACAATCTATTATTTCTAATAGATTTCGAGATATCGATTTTTGAATTCAGAGTTCTAATAGCGCGACCACTATCGAACACCTACTCAATTCCACTTATTTTTACCAAAAATGCAAGTGTTTCTAGCTTGCACTTAAAAAAATCCAAGCTATGGGGAAAATTACAACGACTCGTTAATAAATAAACAAATTAAGTATCACGAAACGTAATTAAATCGTGAAGCTGAACGCATGACGTACACCTTACCCTAGAACTTTAAGTACTGACAGAGGTATTGATTGGGTCGACCGGTCAACTGCGACAAATCTGCTATATCCCCTTCCACGACTTTTAGCGATGTGCACAGTTTCTCGGTTTATTTCATACGTTTGGCAACGTGTTTACTATCCTCTCTTTGTTCAGTACATTATAAACGCATTGTACTCTTCTTACATACGGAAATCTCGACCCAAGACTAACCTTTGCCAGCCCTTACTATATAGTATTAGTATATATATTGCTCTTTTGTATCTTGAAAGCAACGCGATAGTACTAAAGATTGTGCTACATTGACTCTGTGTGAATGAATAAAATTAATAAGAGAGCGACACTTAAACCTCTCTTCAATAAAGATGATGTTTTTAAAGTATGTTCCGTCACTTTTAAAAAATGCTTATATTTGCTTCGTAATTGAAGTTTCTCATTGCTCCTCGAGTTTTGTTTTTCGATTTCTTTCTTCCTGCCAGCTGAAAAACGTAAACTTTTCGAAAATCGTAATGTAGGGGTTTAGAAAAACGTCTTTTCATTATTCAACTTCTTTGTCTCTGCCTTTTATAATGTAACTACATTTCTCATTATAACTGGTGAAATCAGGCAATGAATTGAACTACGAACACTGAACTTCAAAAGTACAACTAACTGAAGAAATTTCGTCAAACTTCAAAACCTCAAAATTATTGGTAATTTTTGAAAAACAAACTTAATAATTTCATGCTTAACACGTTGACTGCCAAGCACGAGATAACTATGTGGTCGCTAATTTATTGTCAGGCGCCAGCCACGAGTTATCTCGTTTTTGGAGAATTGTTTTGCGGCGCCCAGTACGAGTAAACCCGTAGCATTTACGTTAAAGCATAAGGGGATGGGCGTCCGCAATACACCATTAAAACACAGTGGCTTCAAAAACAATTTTTTTTATTTTGTTTTTTAGATCCAGGATACAAAATATAGGGATACAAAAAAGTTAAAAAATATATTTACGTTCTAACATTTACGTAAACTTGGTTACGTAAAATGGTAAAAACTGAGCTGCAAGAACAGGGAAACTATTGCGAAAGTTTACAGCAGTAGCAGAGTTATCAAAAATTAAAAAAAAAACATCTAATACTCTTAAAAAAAAGGATAGCTATTTTCAGTTTAGGTGATAGTACTTGAAGCAGTTTTCAACACATAGAGCTGGATTTTCTTCGCACACAGGACAGAAATAGCGTGTTTCTCGTTGAACTTTTTTTGAAGTACATACCCGACAAGCCCTTGTAGGTCGTTGCTTTTCCTCTGTTGGTGGTATAGCTTCCAAGTAGTGAAAATCGCCCCGCTGTACTCTGTTATATGTAGGCATTTTATCACCTAGGAGAGTAGAAACAAACATCTCTCTAAATTTCAGGGATTTTATCTTGCTTCCAGTCGATTTACGGAAAAGCAAGTATGCGTTATGTATATATAATTCGAGAATATGCAGTGCAATCTTCTTCGGCCATCTAATAGTTTTTCTTAACGCACTGTAGTAACTAAGCATTTGATCGGACTGATCGATACCTGGCATTCTCGCATTGTAGTCCTTTATTATATTTGGCTTCATGGAAACTTTTCCGTTCTTGTTGCGTACTTCGACCATTTGTACCTTGTGCAAATTTGAAATCGTTAATACTTCCCGTTTGTCTTTCCACTTGCAAACAATAACCGATTTGCGTCTTTGCCATATACACTCGCTTTTCTTTAGTTTTTTTGAAACAACATACTTTGGATTTCCTTTTCGATTGCTGCGTAAGGTGCCACAAATATATGTTTTTCTCGCTGTCATGTTGTTTGTTAGGCCAACTGAATTATAAAAATTATCAGTATAGAGAACATAACCCTTATCTAAATATTTCTCCATCAAGTGAAGAACCACACTTGCAGCATGCCCCAGATCATTTTCGGTAGGTTCTGATTTTCCGCAGTATACTTTTATTTTTAGAACCATGCCAGCAGATTCGCATAGTTCATACAATTTTATCCCGTACTTATGCTTCTTATTTCTAATATATTGTCTAAAAAACAGCCTGCTACGCCATAAGATCATTGATTCATCAATGCACACATTTTTATCTGGAACATAGTGATCTTCCAATAATTTAATGAAATGATCGAGGACTGGTCTAATTTTATATAATCGATCTTCTGTTGTTTCCGTGTTGTCAGCAAAATGCAAAACACGCAACAGTAACTGGAAACGATTTCTACTCATAACCTGACTCCAAAAGGGCATCTTGTACATGATATTTTGAGACCAATAATGCTGAATAGACGGAAAACTACATGGACCCATATGTAAAAGGAGACCGAAAAAAAGTCGCAATTCATTTGGGGTTGTGTCGACCCATCTGGTCAATCTGGAGGACCTCGTCAACGGATTCTCTGCGATCTTCTGTGTTGCGTATAAATTTGTTTTTTGTACTAATAGCGTACAAATTCGTCAGAAAAAAACAAATTTACTAAATATTCCATGGTTATCTGCCCTTGAAACTTTAATCCGACATCATTTACCAAAAAATTAAAATTTGGTGGCTCCTCCTCAAGGTCCACCCACTCTGCGTCTAAATTTGGTTCTACGGGTGGCTGAATCGGATCCTGATCACTTTCACTTGTAGAAATCTGCTCACTAGACGTTTTATAGTCGGGGTCGTCATGTCATCCGAATTGTCCTTTAGGAAATTGCCCCACTCAGCCTCATTCATTTGGGCAAATTCATCAAGTCTCGGTCATTCAAACTGCGTTTTCGCGACGTTTTTTTAGCTCAAAGTAACACAAACAGCAACAAAAACATAGGTTTTTCAACAACTAGAAAACGTTAAGGATAATGATCCATCCGACTACACGGCTAGTTGCATACTAAACCGCCTGAATCGCCTGATTCTGCAAAATAGGTTATGCACGCCGTGTGTTTATCGTTTTCCCGCTTTACGAGTCATCTCGTGGTTGGGCGCGTCAAGCAAGTTCGGCTTGGAGACGGCCGACCACGAGATAATTCGTAAGTTATTTTTTTTTAAGGAAATCTACATGCGGGACAAAATTTTAAAATTAGTAGTTTTTAGCACATTTTAAATAATTATTGCGATTTTCACACCGTGGCGTCCGGGAAAGTTTTAAAACAAAATACCATGGCAGTCCACGTGTTAATTAGAAGATCGTATGTTGAAATCAACACGTGTTTGTCAACCAACATTGGGATACGTTTCCGTGCTGACTTCACTACCTCGACCAGCGCGATGTTGAAATCAACACGGGTTTGTAAAATTGAACAACAATTTCGTGCTGATTTCAAGACCGCACGGTGTTGAAATGAACACGGAAATGCTCCCGGACTAATAGCATTTTAAATATTATGATCATAGAGATTATGATGTTACCCCATCATTATTGTTTAATATGCCTAATTCTGAGACATTTTGCAAAGCGACTAAAAATAGATAGGCTCTTTGTAAAAATTAATTCTATTGTTTAAAATGCCGGCGTTTTATAATATGCCTAGTATTTTTGCAAAAAGCCGAATTATTCGATACCAAAAGAAAGAAAAAGTCCGAGACTTTGAATCTTTTTGCTTCTTTCGGATATATACGATATTCTTGTAAATTGCTATTTATCTAAGTCCTAAAATATACTCATTTTCATTGTTGAGAGTTGTCATTTCCTTTAATTTGTTCGTATGATTTACAAATTGTCAAGGTAAAAAACAACTTGATATTCAATTATTGTTCAACCAATAGAACTGGGTGGTTATTTTTGTTTCTATTTTATAAAACTCACATAAGTGTTTTTTAAAATACCTAGTACTTAAAAAACTGATTCTTTAAATTTTCATATAGGTAAGTGATTTTGAACAGGTACTTTAATTCTTATTTTTATCTTATTTATAGATTTAGATAGTGAAATTCAAGCTATATAAATTGGACACTAAACTTTAAAATATACAGTTGTTTTACAAAAATGAAAGTTCTAATTGTTTTAACCTTTTGTATAGTTTACGTCTTCTGTAAGTTCTTATATTTTTTCTAAAAATTATTTTTGTTGTTCTTTATTATGCAATATAATTTTATTTTTTTAAATTCATGTTTTTACATTAAATTTGATAAATACTAACAACCATTGTAATGGGTACTTAATAGTTCTCTATTTTAAATAAAAAGTATCTGTTCTATAATGTAACACATTGCACACATAATAAATAATATCAAATATATTTATTTTATAGTTTATAAAAATGTGCAAAATTTATATTGTGGAAAAACAGGGAAAATCCTCCTGTTTTTTTTTACTTAGATTTCTTAGAAATTTTGTTCGGACTTGTGGTATAATTTAACATATGGAAATACATACATTAATTAAATTAGTATTTATTCATTTTTATTAAAAACGATACTGCAAGTTGGTTAATGCAACATTTATTTTCATAAATATTAATGGTAATATTGTTTGATAAATGTCAAATAACTGAGAAAAAAGGAGAAAAGATAGAAATGTGGAAAAGAAGATTTCAGTATCTTCTTTTCTACATTATATCTATCTGAAATAATCTAAATAAGTTTTTCTATTTATAGGCGGGTCTATTTTGACCCAGAGGCAACCGGAAATAAAAAAAGTAGTTGGAGGTTATTCGGGATCATGTACCACATCTCGCTATTGGGATTGCTGTAAGCCAACTTGTTCATGGAAAGGAAACACAAACACGGATTATGGTAAATTGATTTCAATTGCAAGAATAAGAGGCATTTTTTACTTATAAAATTATTACATTTTGTTTTGTGTAATATTCATTATGAATGTTGGATAAAATTATCTTTTTTTTACAATTTTTATTTTATTGATACTAAAAGAATAGGAATAATACACGGTCAGATGTATTACTGATACACTTGCTAACAATCAAGTTTAAACTATCACATATTATTTTATTAATTCAGGTTTTAAACCTTTTACTATTGATATATATGTACCTCAAAGTGAAATACATGTAAAGTATTCAAATTTTTATTTTTATAGGTCCAGTAAGAGCTTGCAGCAGCGATGGATACAATGTAGATGATGGAAATACTGAATCTGGATGTGTTGGAGGGAGCTCATACATGTGCAATAACCAACAGAGTGTTGTTATTAACTCCACGTTAGCTTATGGGTAAGGATTGATGACAAAATTAATAATAACTATTTTATTTGTTATTAATTTGCAAAATAAACATTAGTAACATAACAAATATCATTACATTTAAGTATACAAAATACGCATTACAATATTTTGTTATGTAGACTCTGTGCTTCTTGTTTAGAGGGACTTTAGCAATAATGTGAAATAAGTTTAAAGTATAAAATGCTTAGAACTTAACAGATTTTCCATGATATTATTGACTATTTTTGTAATAAATTTTTGTCCCTGTAAAAAGATTCAAATATATATTTTTATTTTCTCTCCATAATATTTAGAGAGTCTTAAATAACAATTATCGACAATAAAACCACTCTGTTCCAGATTTGCCGCCGCTATGTTCATCAGCCCCCCTGAAAACATGTGTTGTACTTGTTTCCTTCTCAGTTTCCAAAAGGGCGAATGGGGTGACTGTTCCGGAAAACAGATGGTTGTCCAAATTACAAACACCGGTGCTGGTTCTAGCAACTCTAGCGGTGATCAAAACAACATCGAAGTTGCCATGCCTGGAGGTAACGAGAATGATGTGGCGTGTTATAGCATAAATAAAATTAATTTCTATTATAGGTGGTGTCGGATATTACACAGAAGGATGTAAAACTCAATGGAATGCTCCAGACCTAGGTTGGGGTGACCAGTATGGAGGTGTAACTACTGAAGACGGCTGTTATGAACTTCCTACTCAACTTCAAGATGGATGCAAGTTTAGGTATGTGCTTTATTAAATATTTGATTGATTGTTAATATTAATTAACTTGTGTGTTAATAACTTTTTCTTTGAAATATGAATAAAAGAAAATATATATTTAGAAATATTATATAACTAAGCATTTAAGTACTTGATAGTGTCTTTTATACTTGTTAATTTGCTGGTTAATTACCTATTTACCTGATAACACCGTATAATATATTATAGTTAATGTTTAATATAATAAGTCCATCATGTTTTTTAGATGGGAGTTCCTTAATGGTTGTTCAAACCCACCAGCAACCTTTGAACAAGTTGTTTGTCCTCAAGAAATTGTGGATATATCCGGCTGTAAAATGGACCCTGTTTGGAATTCGTAGAAATAAATACTTTAAATGACAAAGTCGTGTGCCATATGTATTTTATAAATTGATTTTTTTATATTTATGTTTTAATATATTTTTATATAAGGAATTATTAAATTTGATACTTTTTATTATTTCTATTTTGTCCTAATAACATCTCGCATATTTTTAGCTTCGCATCACTGATTCAATCCTATTTAAGAATTCTGATTCGATTCTTTTCATTGCAATTTGAATACAGAATTATGGAATTTTGAGTAGAATTAACTAAAAATATCTACATGATCTTTGTCTGGCAAGAGGTGTTGCATTTAAAAAAAATCGAGATATAGCATTTGAAATATTCCGATTTTCATGACGCCATAAAAATACCCTGTATAGGACAATGTAAATTTTCTTTCGATAATTTATTCTGTTGTTTTTATGTTTAGAAAAATATAGCTAAGTATTAATAAAGTTATACCTATTCACTCCAGTTTTTAACCACTTTTCGTATATAGTGTTTTTAACCAAAGTTTTAGTAAATAAGAAACAAAATGGCAACACCGCATAGTGCTTTAAATAAAAATAGTGTACTATATGCACAATTTTATGCTGAATCCAATTATCTACAGAAAAATGGGCGTTGCAATTAAAAAAAAAAATAAAATTTTATCATAACTTTTTGTGACACCCTGTATACAATAAAATATTTTTAGTATATGCCCATCTATAAACGATGCAACATCTGTATAGAACTTTTTTTCATATCTTCGACAACAACGACGATATTGGAGTTCCACGCACTAACGGGCCACCCTGTTATCAGCTTTTTATTTTAACTTTATAATGTTAATATAATTAGGAATTAAGATATCATTAACTTATAATAATATATTAAAATTTTTACCAACAATCTTTACTTAATCTTAATCTTTTTTTTTTACTAAGTCTTCTTTTGCATATACAGGTTGGTCCGAACTGTATTCCGGAAACTTCGGCAGCACATTCTTCACATAAAAATAAGTAAAAAGTTCGTATAAATATATGTCCTAAAATGCTTAGTTTCAGAGATACAGGGTAAAGTAAAGTAAAGTTTCATTTTTATTTTGATTTTTTTCTAAATAATTTCTGAAGTAACGTCAATATTTGGATGAAAATTGGTGTGTGGATGTTTCTTGACATGAGAAATTTGATTTTGATGTCAATATCACTCCTACCAGTGAGTGGGTGCCACCTACATGTGTGTTACCTGTTTTGAAGCGTAATAACTTTTTGTCCGTACCTGTATAAAACTACCTAGTGAAAAAATATACATTTCCAACACTTTTTACGTAAAAAATATCTCTTTGTAAAAATCGCTACGAGCAACTGTTCTTAAGATATTTAGAATCAAAATAGTCAATACATGTCATTATTGACGAAAAATAAACACGTTGAGTTAGATAATATAGTTATTTCACTGAAATAATAAATTTGGGAAATTTTTATTTTTTTAAATTAATCATAAATTTTTCTGCAAAAAATGATGATAAAATAGTTTCTGTTGAACTTTTGGCACAAAAACATTTCAAATTTATTATTTCAGTCTAATAATTATTTAGTCAACATGTTTAATTTATGTCAATGATGACAGGTATTGATAATTTTGATTCCAAATATCTCGAAAACCATTACTCGTAGCGATTTTTACCAAGAGACCTTTTTCACGTAACAAACGTCGTAAATGTATATTTTTTTACTCAGTAGTTTTATACAGGTACGGACAAAAAGTTATTACTCTTCAAACCAGTTAAAAAAAATATGTAGGTGGCGCCCTCTACTAGTAAGAGTCATATTGACATCAAATTCATATTTCTCATGTCAAAAAACACCAAGACACCAATTTTCATCAAATATTAATGTTACTTCAGAAATTATTTGGAAAAAATCGAAATAAAAATGAAAATTCTACACCCTGTGTCTCCGAAACTAAGCATTTTAGGACATACATTTATACGAACTTTTTAACTTATTTTTAACTTCAGAATATGCTGCCGAAGTTTCCGGAATACAATTCGGACCACCCTGTATATTATTATGTTTACAACCTTTCTTCTTTTGAATTAGGGTTGCCACCTTTTTGCAAAGTAAAAAAAAGGCATTGGACTATGGAAAAAGGACGACTGGGGGGGGTAGCCTGTTGATTGGGAACCGCTGATTATAAATCGTGACTTTAAAATTTTGAAAAGCTCTTTTTAAGATCAAAATGGTTAGAAATAAAGCCTAAACCTGTTAATATTCGCTGTCTAAACATTCATTTCAGATTAAACGGCGAGTTCTAAATAATGTTGCCGATTCTAAACAGTACTATACTGTTTTATTAAGTTTAAAAATGATACTTTTTGTAGCGAGGCTGTACGTTTGACATTACAGGCGAAGCACAAAGAGTAATTTTTACCCGAATAGAACAGGCTATTTTTTTCAAACGTTAAAAAACATTTTTTAAATAATTACCAACTTTACAAATAATATAAAAACATTTAAAAGTAATACATTTATTTATGTTTTATAACATGTCTAATTAAATTTGGATGAAAGGAATATTGCTGGTTGCTGTAGATAATTTTTTCAGAGAAAATACGTAAATAAAAAGGACTTTTTAGGTCAAAAAAAGTCAAAAGGGCAATTTGTTCCAAAAAAGGCTGTCCTTTCCAAAAAAAGGACAGGCGGCAACCATATTTTGAGTACAAAGATCTAAGATAATCAGATGATTCAGTATGCTAGTGAATTTCGCGGAGGATATTAAATAAAAAGATTTCATTATTATTATTTTGTAATTAACTATTCTCAGTTTATTTCTTGTTTTAAAATAAGAAATTTACTCTACTTTTTGAATATAATCTGAAAATTTTCACAAGAACATCACACTTTTTAATTTTTGCATTAGTTCCTACCTTAACCATCAATTTTTAATTAAGTATTTAAGTATTATCAGTTACGTTATTATCAGTGTATTTCTTATTTGAAAATAAGAAATTTACTCTTACTCTATTTTTAGTACTTTCTAATATAATTTGAAAATCTTACATAGAACATCATACTTTTTAATTTTCGCATTAGTGTCTAAACATCATTTTTTGAATACAGGGTCCGTCAGTACCTAGTGCGTCAGTCATCTGTATCTCCTAGAATAAAAACTTTGGCATTTTGTTTAAGTGCAAACCTATAAAGTATGTACTGGGATGTATTTTAGGAAAATATTTTAACTGCTATAGGGTGGCTCAATGGGTGTGAGTGGATCAGGATGATTTTTTTTTAATGAAACACCCTGTATGTTATGCATTTTTGGCTTCCTTTCAGACAGTGGCGAATACAGAGGGGGGACCATGAGGCCCCCCCCCCTAAAAAAAAATTGTTAAATTGTGTTAAATATTAGGCTTTTTTGTTAAAAATGGCGCCCTAAAACCATATTCTACATTACTTTTTATTTTGGCCCCCCCCCTAAAATAAATTCCTGTATCCGCCCCTGCTTTCAGACCACTTTACATAATCCTAAAATAGGTGTAAATATGTTTCGATCGTTTCAGAGATAGGTTAGGTTACAAAAATGTAATAATAGGTATAAAAAATAGGTTAAATAATAGGTTACAAAAAAAGAGATAGGTTACAAAAATGCAGCAGCCATGAAATGCAATAATATGCAGGGTATTCCATTCATTCACACTTTTTTGAGCCATCCTATAGAAGTTAAAATATTTTCTTGAAATACATCCTAGTACATACTTCAGGTTAGCACTTAAACAAAATTTCCAACTTTTTTATTCTAGGAACTACAGATGCCTGAGGCATTATTGCCGGACTCTGTATAAGACACTTATTATTTTTCTAAATTACCAATTACCATCTTTAATTTTGAAACATGGATTATCTTTTATTTTATAAACAGAATTTAGGAAACATTACAATATGAATCAATGTAAAGTTCATATATCTTGAGGTTCTGAAGTATTTTGCTTTCAACTTAGTTAAATTTAATTCTGACATTAATAAGCATACCTACTTGAGTTTTTAATTTATTATTACATTCATTATCTTTTTCTTCATTAACAAATGCTCTTGTATGATGATAACGTATCAGTAATTATTAGTTATTTGCTTGATTTGTTTTGTAACATACAGGGTTCGGCAATAGTGCGTCGGGCATCTGTAGCTCCTAAAATAAAAAACTTGGCAATTTTGTTTAATGATGTATTATTAATATATTTCAGGAAAATAATTTAACCTCTATAGGGTGACTTAAAAAGTGTTAGTAGATCAGGATGCTTTTTTTAAATGGAACACCCTGTGTATTATTACATTTTTGGCTTCCTGTCTGATCACTTTACATAATCTTAAGATATTTTTAAATAAGTTTTGATAGTTTCAGAGATATTAATAAATAAATAAATAAAACTTTCTTCAGCCTTTTTTTAAATAAAAAATCGGTAAAAAAACTTTTAAGTTAAACGGTTTTATCTTATGTGCACTGAAAACTAGAAAATAATAATAACAATTAGGTATTTTGAACTTCTAGTTCAGAAATATTTTAGTACTAGGCAGAATAGCTTTTAGGCATATTAGACTAAAATAAAAACGTGGGGCCCATTAACTATTGCTGTAATACTTTCTTCTATACTAAGTGTGGATTGCATCGACTTACTATAATCGTAACTGAAGATTTTGACAATCAATAACCAGCCGTGGCGGCTTCACCAGCGAACGCCGAGCTCATGATCTACCAAAGTATAAAGATATGCATAGGTAGGATTTCAGAGGGGCCCCACGTTTTTATTTTAGTCTAATATGCCTAAAAGCTATTCTGCCTAGTACTAAAATATTTCTGAACTAGAAGTTCAAAATACCTAATTGTTATTATTATTTTCTAGTTTTCAGTGCACATAAGATAAAACCGTTTAACTTAAAAGTTTTTTACCGATTTTTTATTTTCTAGTTTTTAGTATTTAACGGAAATGCCTACCGAATATTCCTCATTCTATTTAATTCATTTAGTGCATCATTATTACATGTTTTTTTACCTGATAATTTATTACAATCTAATTCCTCAATACATAGCCCTTCCAGAGACTTGACTCGACTTAGAGCCACGTATGCTTGCCCTTCCTCAAACAATTTTGAGCCCAAATACACTACTGCATGGTCGACAAAATTAAGGGTAACATCCTTCTTTCAGCCCTACCATAATTGAATTTTGCTGGAAACTGTATGGCTTTCGGGTGTATAACGTGTATGCCGTCTCTGCCAAAGTCAATCCAAACTGATGGTACATCTGTTTCGTACATTTGGGTTCGA